AATGAATAGCTTTAATGAATAACTTTAATGAGAAACTTTTTGTTGAATAGTTTACAAAATTTTCACATCAAAAAATAATAACAAAATAATTAATAGTAATAATCATTCATTTATTCATTCATACATTCAAAAACTCAATAATAATAATTAATCATTAATCATTTGTATAATGAATATGGAAAATGAATTTTATCAAGACCTTGCTGAAACTTATATTAATGAAGAATCAAATACAAATTGTGAAAGTGATAATGGGAACGTAATTAGTGTCATAAATGATAATGGAAATGTAATTAATGTCATAAGTGATAATACAAATAATAAAAAAATCATCAAAAGGAAACGTCCAAAAAAATCAAAAGTTTGGGATTACTTTGAAGACAAAATAAACAACATTTATTGCAAAGTCATTATCAATCCTCAAACAGAAACTAAATGTGGTGCAAAATATGCTAATTCAGACACCACATCAACTTCAACATTAAGTTATCATTTAAAACATTGTCATCAAATTTTTGTTAATCCTGAAGAAGTATGTTTATATATATGTTTATATTATTTGCTCAACATATACATTTATTTATTATAATTCAAATTTTTTTAGAAATCTGATTTAAAACAACCCAAGTTAACTGATGTGTTTGAAAAAATTCAAGAACATCCACAACAAAAAATGAAAGACCTCCATCTTGCCACCACTGAATGGATTGTATTGGACTCTTTACCTTTCAATGTGCTTCAAGGAGAAGGTTTTAAAAAATTTATCAAGAAATTGGATCCTAAATTTCATGTACCAAATAATAAAACAATTAAAAATATTATTGCAGACAAATATTCCATTCAAAAAACCAAAATCAAAAATTTAATTAAAGATACTTGTGTTACTGCAACCATTACAACTGATCTTTGGACCTCTAGATCAAAGGAAGGTTATATTGGAGTAACGTGTCATTGGCTTTCACCAAAATTTGAACCAATTGATATATTACTTGCTATAGAAAGGATGCCATATCCACATACGAATGAAATAATTCTTAATTATTTAAAAAATTTGGTAGAAGAATTTGGATTGTCAAATAAAATAATCTGTGGAGTAACAGATAATGGCAGTAATATGAGAAAAGCATTTGATACATGGGAAGGAGTTGAAAGGCTCCCATGTACTGCACACACTCTCCAACTTTCTGTAAATAAAGCTCTTATAATAATAAAACCTTATGTTAAAAGATTCAAAAAGCTGGTAAAATTTTTTTCTACCTCCCCAAAACAAAGTGAAAGATTGGATAAGGCACAAATTGAAGTTGCTAGTCGTGAGTATCAAGGATTAGAACATTCTAAATTAATTCATTTTTATGATGAAGATGAAGATGGAAATGAAGATGAAGATGAAAATGGTGATGAT